TAGCCAGAAGCCTCCTGCCCTGGGGCTGCACCCTGTCGCCTCACCATGCATCCCCCGGCATACGCTACCTCGCTTCATCATCCCCCATCTCTCCTCACTATCACCCCATCTCCCCTCACCACCCCATCTCCCGTTCCTTCTGTTCATCATCCATCTCCCCACACTCACCCATCTCCCCCCTCACTCATCCCATCTCCCCGCTCACTTCAGTCATCTACTCCGTGCACTTTACGGCATTTCCCCCGTCACTCACCCATCTCCCCTCACTCATCACCCCATCTCCCCCCCACTCACCTCATCTCCCTCTCTCACTTTCACACCCATCCTCCGCCGCGTCGCTCATCACCCATCTCCCCCCACACTCACCCCCTATCTCCTCACTCCACCCATTCCCCGCCTCGCTCACTCACCAGTCTCCCCGCCTTGCACACCCCATCTCCCCCTCACTCATCACCCATCTCTCCCTTGATCACCCCATCTCCCCCAGGCATCACCCCCCATCTCCCCCCTACGTCATCACCCCATCTTCCCGCCTGCTCATCACCCCATTCTCCCCCTACATCAGCCCACTCTCCCCCCGCACTCACCCAATGCTCCCCGGCCTACTCACTCACCCCATCTCCCCCTGCACACCCCATCGGCCCCCTCCACTATCACCCCATCTCTCCCGCCTTGCTCATCACCCCATTCTCCCCCACACTCAGACCCCTATCTCGCCCCCTCACTCATCACCCCATCTTCCCGCTCGCTCACCCATCTCGGCCTACACCTCACCCCACTCCCCCCACTCAGATCCTGCAGGGGAATGGCCAGGGTCAGCTGCAGCCAGCTAGCTGGAGGCTCACTGTGGAGAGGGGACAGAGCGATGGAGAAGAGTGAGGGTGGAGTGAGAGTCCCAGGGAAGCCCTGCCCTGGCTGCACCCGCCTCACTCACTGCATCACCCCCGTGCACTTACCGCATCTCCATCTCCCCGCTCATTCACCCCATCTCCCCCTCACTCATCACCCCATCTCCCCCCACTCACCCCATCTCCCCCCTCACTCATCACCCCATCTCCCCGCCT